TTCCCCCCCCCCCCCCCGTCTCATGCTCCAACTCCAATCTACTGAACAAATGCAGGAAATGGAAACGGGCAAAACCAGCTCTCCCTAATGCAACAGGCATGTTGGACTACAACTCCCATCTTCCCCGCCCTCCAGCAGGGTCTCCTCCAGCACCACAATTAAAAAGCATCAATTCTTTGGCGGTCAGCCCTCTTTATGGTCAGCTCTCACTTCCGTACATCACTGGAAAAACCATAGCTTTGACCCTCTGGTCTACCGCGCATGTTGGACTACAACTCCCATCTTCCCCACCCAGAGCAGCTGGGGACGAGGGTCATTGTAGTTCCACATACCTAGCAGAAAGTTTCCAGGCTGGTGAGTGAGGAGTCCGATTTGAAAATTTTTTGGGTAGAATGCCAGCCCGTGCTCTCTGGCAAACTGAATGGGAACCTATTAAATTGGGTGCGGGTGTTTATTCTGGGAGAGGGCTGTGTCTCTCTGCCTAGCCCGTTTGGACGCACGGAGCAACTTCCTGCTGACTCAGAGGTCCTTTTTATCACGATTCTCTGCTCTAACTGGCGGTCATGGCTCTCTCCAGGATTTCAGCCCTACTGGCAAAGGCTGTAGGATTGGATCTTGGTACCCTACCATGGGGCTAATAAGGCTTCTTCTCACAGATACAGAGGTCCTTCTGTCATCCCCTTCTCCTCTTGCCTTCACACTTTCCCAACATCAGGGTCTTTTCCAGGGAGTCTTCTCTTCTCATGAGATGGCCAAAGTATTGGAGCCTCAGCCTCAGGATCTGTCCTTCCAGGGAGCACTCAGGGTTGATTTCCTTCAGAACGGATAGGTTTGTTCTCCTTGCAGTCCAGGGGACTCTCAAGAGTCTCCTCCAGCACCACAATTAAAAAGCATCAATTCTTTGGCGGTCAGCCCTCTTTATGGTCAGCTCTCATTTCCATACATCACTACTGGAAAACCCATAGCTTTGACGCTCTGGTCTACCGTCACCTATTTTGTTTCCTAAGCAAAGGCCAGGAAAGGGGCTGGCGCGGCACCATGATTTGGGGGGGCATGGATTGTAAAGCTCACCAGTGAGACCAACGTTTGGGGAAGTTGTTATATCCTGTGTCATCAGCAAAGCAATTTTCCCAAATTCTGCCTCTCTCAAAGTGATCTTTCACAGACTGAACACGAAGGGACATTATCCGTGATCAATGGCAAGGTTTCCCTATTGGCTTATGCACTAGGGTGGGAATGAACCTTCCCAATGCCAAAGTCCAGAAGCATCCAGGATGCTTTCCCACGACCCTTGGAAGTGGTTCCGTCCCTGCCCCGATTTTGCTAGTCTTTCACTAAGACCAACTGCCCTCTCCTTTACGTCAGCTGTATCCCCAAACCCTCAAAAGATCGTGCGTGTGTTCTATTTACATCTTCCAAATGTTCTTTTTTGGCCTTCAGGAGACTGGAGATCAAACTCAAGGGGTTCATGACGTGCCACAAGTCTTGGCAAAAGCTGGAAGACATCCGGAAGGTTTTCTGGTTCAACAGGACCCCTGTTTCAGGTAGGCGCCCCTTCTGGCACATGGATCGTACGAACTCGAGACATATAGAAGCAGCATTCTGGAAAAACAAACGCTTTGGCTGAGCTAGGACAGCCGCGTTTATGTCTTTTCCGGCCAGGTGAAAATCTCACGGCCGGCACCCTGAGATTCCTCGGAAGATTGATCTCCCAAGGCAGAAGGACTGCCTCCGTTACCTCTCTCCAGAGGAGGGGCAGGATCTGTTCTTGATCATCCCAGAGTGCAGGACATGCAACCATGGGCTCAAGCTGTATGAAGCCACATTTAGCCTGAATATCAGGGGAAAAACTTCTTAATTGCTAGAGCAGTACAACAACGGCCTCAAAAGGGGTTGGACTCAATGGCCTTAGAGGCCCCTTCCCACTCCATGATTCTGTGATTCTATGATTCAACGTCTTATCCTTCAGCTCTAGTTACAGGCCTCAACTGCATCTTAAAAGCTCAGATGATGAGTCTTTACTTCTTCTTTTTAAAAAAATTAAATATTCAGATATACAAAGTCCTTAGAATAATACGTATTGGTCTGAATCCTGTTGGGCGGGATCCTGTAAACCAGGAGAGCAAACTGCAGCTAATTAACGAGGCGCCTGTCCCATCCTTTCTCTTTTTTTCTGGCAGAGCTGAGAAGATGACAGGCCTCTAGGAAATATGGTGTAATATTATTTGTTTACTACCCAGAGCCCTTATTTGTTAGCCGTGCCCTTAACCCCAAAAGCTGTTTGGCCTCTCCCAGTTTTAAGGACACCAAATGGGAGCCAGGAGTCCGGGACTAACCCCAAAAGCTGTTTGGCCTCTCCCAGTTTTAAGGACACCAAATCATCAGTGCTGTATGTAACACCCTCCTCCTCCTGTTTGAACCCATCTTGTCCTCCCTAATGTCAGATGCAAGAGGCGACACCCTACAGATCCGCCATGCTCAACCCTTTTTTTTGGCCGAGACCGTAAACACAATATGAAAGAAATATAAGCCAAATCAGGAATTGTATGAGTCGTGCGATGATGAACCTTATAAGGTGGCATGTGACGAACCTTTTTCAGTCTGTGGCCCCCTTCAAAGGTGCCGGGGGGGCCGGGAGGCCACATGGGGCCCCATTGATCACCTGCCTGGCTTCCTCTCTTTCCGCTCCAAAGAGCATGAAAGGATCGATCCTTAGCTTCTCATTCCTCCAGACTTCCAGGTTTCCCAGACTGAGGGCTGATTTGTCAGTGACGCCCGGTGTCTGTTAAAACAAGCCAGCGGCCTTTCTTTTCTCTTCAGAGTACGTTGCCGACCACTGGCAGGAAGACGCCTTCTTCGGCTACCAGTATCTGAACGGCGTCAACCCGGTGGTCATTGAGAAATGCACGGAGATCCCAGCCCACTTCCCGGTGACCCAGGAGATGGTCGCTGGGTCCCTCGGCGAATCCACCACCCTACACAAGGAAGTGCAGGTGACGAAATCTTTGGGCTTGACATTCTCAGGGGAAACAGTTATGGCCTATCTTTGCGGGAGAAAGAGATTGCAGAAGGAACGCCAGCTCTTAGTTCAGCTGTCCCATCCGGAGTTGGAAGCATGACTACAACTCCCAGAATGTGCTGACCAGCCTAGCCACTGAAAATGCAATCTTGTCAGATTCTGGGGAGGACAGTCCAGAATAGGAACTGAAGGGTAAACTTGTTTTCCTATCACAGTCATTATACCAACGGCCCCTGTTCTTTCTCCCTGCTCCTTACAGAAGGGGAATGTGTTCATTGTCGATTACAAGATCCTCAAAGACATCCCAACCAACACAATCGATGGCCAGGTGCAGTACATGACAGCCCCGCTCTGCCTTTTCTACCAGACGCCTTCCAGGGATCTCGTCCCCATTGCTATCCAGGTAAAACAAACCGCGCCGAACCAGAACGTCTTGTGCTTCCTCCCGTCTGGGGCTCCCGAAGCCGCCTGTGCCTTAGATCTTGCAAAATGTGGGAACTCGTGTTTGCGAAGGGCAAGGCGCCGGGGGGGTGGTTTGCAAAAGCTCTTCTTCCGGTTTCCAGGCCCTCAAACGGCTGGCCTGCATGACTTCCCCCCTTGTATTCAGCGGACCACTACAAAGGGTGGCGAAGTGGGCTTTGTAGCTGAAAAGCCTTGTGCAATAAACCCTCGTGGTGGCCACACGGCCCGCAAAGATGGGTTGAATGCAAGCTAGGGAACTCTTTCTCTTGTGGCCTCAACTTCCCAGAACCACCTAGCCATAGTTGGCAAAAGTAACTTCTCCCAGTTCCAGTCCTAGCTGATCTTTTCCTTTTGCCTCTGCAAGCCACCCGTTTGGATTCCACATGTAGATTTTTGTCTTCTTGTTCTCCTCTTCCTCCTCCTCCTTCTCCTCCTCCTCCTCCTCTTTAGCTCAGCCAAACACCTGGGCCGGACAGCCCCATCTTCCTTCCTAGCGACCCCTTGTGGGACTGGACCCTGGCGAAGATGTGGGTGCGGAACGCGGACTTCCACGTCCACCAGAACCTCTCCCACCTCCTCCGGACTCACCTGATGGCCGAAGTCTTTGCCATGGTCACGCTCCGGCAGCTCCCCATGTGCCACCCGCTCTTCAAGGTATGGGAAAAGGGAGGGAGGGAGGGCTGGGCCCCCGTCTGGAGACCAGAGCTGACCAGAAAAACTATCTGACCAGGATTTTTGTCCCAACCGTACTATTCTTCTATTATCTGTGGTTCTGTGACATCAAATCGCTTCCAACGTATGGCAACCTGAACGGGGTTTCCAATGGGAGAAGTAGAAGTGGGCATGAACCGAACGACGAACCGAAAAAACCAACCACAGACCAGGCCGATTCATGGTTTGGTTTTTGGCCAAAAGGAAATGGAAGAGATGGACTTTTTTTCTTCTCAAAGCTTTGTTGTGCTTTAGCGACACAGATGCCCCCCCTTCCCACTGCCCCAGGGCCTCCCTGTCTGGTCCTGCCCAGCCCTCCTCTTTGTCCTCCACCACTGCCATCTTTAGAGAGGGTGGCCTTAGCTTCCCTTCCAGGAGCCAGCCGGCTGTCTCTGCACATACCTGTCAACTGCTAAAGGTGATGCTTATTTTATGCATTGGGATTTTCAGCATGCATGGGCTACAGCTCGCATGATGAGCTGCAAGGCATTATGGGCCCAGTAGTTTCTTGACAGACACCTGGTGCAGAGCATCACAAGCAGAGAGACTAAAAGTCCCGTAGTGCCTTGCAGTTCTCATGGAACCCAACTTCACTCAGCTAAGTCCTTCGTCTTCATTGAGAAGCTGTTATTTCTCAGCTGAAAGAGATTGCAGATACCTGAAAGGATGGGAGAAGTTGCCTAAAGCCCCCAAAAATCTGGCGGGAGGAATTTCTGCAGACTTCTGGGAGTTGTAGTCCTTGAATTCTGAAAAGCCTACTTCTGGAGTTGGTGAGTACTCCAGTCCTGGAGGCATTCAAGAGATAAAATTAGACAATCCTCTCTCAGATCTGCTTTGATTTGTATTCCTGCCTTGAGCAGGGGGTTGGACTGGAAGGCCTTAGAGGCTCCCTTCCAACTGAATTAGTCTATGAATGTATGATTCTGTGATCAGCCTTGTTTCACTTGATGGCTCCCATCAAGCAGCATAGGCGTTGCCTGGCTTCCAAGCTGTTCTTGCAACCCAAGGTGCCGATCTTCACTGGATTTCCCTCCCACCCTACAGCTTCTCATTCCCCACCTGCGATACACCCTCCAGATCAATACTTTAGCCAGAGTCAGGCTCATCAAGGAAGGTGGCATGATGGATCAGGTAAGGTGGCGCCACTTCGGTCTTTGAATGCCTTCTTCAAATCGTGTGGCCTGGCCTTTTTCACGTTGTAATGTATCCTATGAATATTTATCTGTTTTCTCCCAAAGCATATGTGCTTTTCCCAAATTGGCTGGCAGACTCCCTGGTTTAAATAAATGAACGAGGAGAGACAAAATAATAGTGTGTCTACACTTAGAAATTATAGCGGTTTGATTCCACTTTAGTTCCCATGGATCCAATCACTAGATTCCTTAGATATGTAGAGATACAGTGGTGCCTCGCTTAACGACGTTAATTCGTTCCAGCGAAATCGCTGTAGAGTGAAAACGTCATAAAGCGAAATAAAAAAGCCCATTGAAACGCATTGAAAACTGTTCAATGCGTTCCAGTGGGCTGAAAAACTCACTGTCCAGCGAAGATCTTCCATAGGGGTGGCCATTTTCGGTGCCTGTATAGCAAGGAATCCGTCCCTAAGCACAGCGGGGAGCCATTTTGAGCACCCAGTGCCCATTTTGAAAACCCAACGATCAGGTGATTTGGTCATCGTAATGCGAAGAATCGGTTCCCGAAGCAGGGAATCGATCTTCGCAAAGCGAAAAAAAACCATTTAAAACATAGTTTTAAATCGTGAAGCGGATTCATCATTATACGGGATAATCGTTAAGCGGGGCATGACTGTACCTTGAATTTTCTACTGAGTTAGCTATAAAGAGAATCCATACAATTTCAACAAACTTCAAATCCTACCATTCCATAGGAGGAAGCCACAAGAGTTAAAGCAGTTTCAAACTGCAGTAACTGTCTTGTGTAGATGCCAGTTTTGGGGTATAAACATTCATGCATGCATGCATGCATTTTTAAACCTAGGCAGAGAATGGAAAAGTTACTTTTGGGGACTAGAGCACCCAACCGTGTCCCTACTGATCAGGGGTTTCTGAAGGATGTGGTCTTAAAAAATGTAATGTCTCCAACCTCTGCCTACCCCCTGCCCTCAGGAAGATGTTCACAACAGACATTCTGTGGATGGCATGACCTGACTCGGTCTGATGTCCACCTTGGTGGTTCTTTCAGGCCACCTCTGCCGGCTACGAAGGCATCGTGCCCCTGTTGAAGAAGGGGACTTCCATGCTTACCTACGCCTCCCTCTGCCTCCCGGAAGACATTGAGGCTCGGGGAGTCTCCACCGTTGCAAACTACTACTACCGGGACGATGCCCTGAAGATATGGGCCGCCATAGAGAGGTGAAGACCAAACCAAAGGTCATGGGGATGAAGATCAAGGACGTGGGGTGGATGCATGTCATGAGGAAGCTGAAACTGAGGGTACGGGATGGAAGATAGAGGATGCAGGAGGAGGGGGGTGAGTTCGGATGTGGGGGTTTCCAATGCAGTAGCTTGTTGGGAGAAGTCGGGGTTTTGTGGAGGAGGTCCTGGATTTCCATTTAGAAGGTATTCGAGGGAAAATCGGATCACCCTCTGTCCGATCTGCTTTGCTTTGCATTCCTGCCTTGGACCTAAAGATGGCATTAGAGGCCACTTCCCACTCCATGATTCTAAGGACCTCAATCCAGGTAAACAGAAGTTGTCTGTACAGCAATATCTGAGATCATGGAGAGCAGTGAGGAATCGGAGTGCGCCATATGGTTTTCTGGAAGCCATCATCCAAAAAAAGAGGCCACTTTCCCCAGTGTCTGGGAAAGAGAGGTCAGAAGGCCGGTTCAGATCTTAGACGGGGGCATACCTGGCTTTTGCTATGGTTTATCTTTCCCCAGTGTCTGGGAAAGAGAGGTCAAAGGCCGGTTCAGATCTTATACGGGGGGCAAACCTGGCTTTTGCCATGATTTATAGGCTCAAAAAAAGAAAGAAAGAAAGAAAAAGAAAGAAAGAAAGAAAGAAAGAAAGAAAGAAAGAAAGAAAAGAAAGAAAGAAAGAAAGAAAGAAAGAAAGAAATCACATGTCTCTGGTATGTCATTTCAGAAAACAAAAGTGTTTTTTTTTAAGGCAGGGCAGATTTGATTTAACTCGAAATGATTTAAATCAAAATCAGAAATAGAAATTAAAAACATTTATTAAATCACGATTTGAATTTAAAATTCTGAATTTCTTTTGGACCATGTAAATATTTAAAAATCTTTTTTTTGGATCATTTGAATAGTGACTTAAATCAATGTGATTTTTTTTAATTGCTGGTTTTTATCCAGCCTGAAGAAAAATGTGAGGATATGATGTAAGCCAGGGTAGGCGGTACGAATGAAAATTTGTGTCCGGACAATAGTTTCGTAAAGACCAACCCGTGGTAGGTACAGGTGGCTGTTATGAGAAGGGGCTCTGAGTCACAGCATCGGTACGGCATGCAGAGCATCCGAGAGAGAGGAAGCTGGATTTTGGATCCACCAAAGTTGACTATCTCTGCAGTAGAAGGAGAAATGGATTATGCCCCGCTAAGTGTCATGAACTTTTGAACACAGCGTAGGGAAGTTACTTTTGTAAACTAAGACTCCCAGAATCCTCAGGCTAACCATGGCCAGGCTACCTGGGGAATTCTGAGGGCATCAAGTCCATGAAAATAGTCCAACGCATGTCATTGATAGCAGGTGTTTGTGTGTGCCTTACGTTAATGCTCTAAGGCAGTGGTTCCCAACGTTGGGTCTCCAGAGGTTCTAGGATTAAAACTCCCAGAAGCCTCCACCACCAACTCTGTTGGCCAGGATTCCTGGATGTTGCAGTCCAAGAGCATCTGGAGACCCAAGGTTGAGAGCCAGTGGTTTTAAGACTTGGTAGATCTTTACAGGTGTGGGCTCTTCTTGTGCGTTCCAGCTTTGTCGGTGGCCTGGTCAGGTTCTACTATCAGAACAACAAGCAGGTCCAGAGTGATCCAGAGCTCCAGGCCTGGATTCACGAGATCTTCACAGAAGCTTTCCTAAGCAGGAAGACGTCGGGCGCACCTTCGTCTCTGGAAACCGTGGAGGAGCTGATCAAGTTTCTAACCATGGTGATTTTCACCTGTTCGGCTCAACACGCCGCGGTCAACAGCGGACAGGTGAGCACGGGAGGTCATACCTGTAGAACACGATGCCCTGTTGATTCTGCCTCTTCTTTGCCTACATGGTAAATAAAGCAGCCGAATTTCCCCGGTGGTAAACCCTTCTCATCCCAGATCCTTGACTAATATTTTGCTGTGTCTTAACGGCAGACATGGCCTTGATAACCTTCCCCAATGGGGTATCTTGGATGACAACTCCCAGCCAGCGTGGCCTTTTTTCCTGAGGATGATGGAATCTGTAGTCCCACATGTCTAGAAGGAGCAAAGTTGATGTATCATTACATGGGGGTGGGGAGATACCATATTTTTGGTCTCCTGAGCATCCGATCCAAAAGACCATCCCCTTTGTCACCCAGTAACTGATGGGTGGATCCAGATTTTGATGCACAGACCCACTGAAATCAACGCAGCTTCAGTGAGATGTAGCTAGCTTAGGTTCTCTTGATTCCAGTGGGTCACCTGTGACTCGTATGTTTTTCATTTTTATATTTTTCCCCTTCCTGCCTGTCTTCTAGTGAGCTCAAGATGGTGCCCAAGGTTCTCCTTCCCCTGTGATTTTTGTCTTCACAACAACCTTGTTAGGCTGAGACAGTATGACAGATAGCGTGCACCACAGATGGATGCGAGCTTGACCCCAGGCCTCGAAAGCGCACATTCTAACCATTACTCCATGACTACGATGAATGATCCTGCAGGGTGTGTCTTCACAACAACCTTGTTAGGCTGAGATAGTATGACGGATAGCGTGCGCCACAGACGGATGCGGGCTTGACCCCAGGTCTCGAAAGTGCACATTCTAACCATTGCGCCACGACTACGATGAATGAGCCTACAGAGTGACTTACCATATTTTTCCGTGTATAAGACTATACTTTTGTCTAAAATCTTTATACTAAAAATTGAGGGACGTCTTATACACAGAAGTAAGCTGAGGAGAGAACAAAGACAAGTGGAGCGGAAAGCAGGGATCAAAGCCATCCTGCAGGGCTTCGATCCCTTTCCCCCTACACTTGCTAAGCCCCACTTAGATTTCTTAATTTTGGGTTAGAAAAGTGGGGGCGTCTTATACATGGGGGGTCTTAAATACTGTAAATCCCACATCCACCCTATATAAATGAAATTTGTTTCTGTCGAGCCCATCATAAGGATCCCCATGTGGTGAGCAGTGCTTTAGGTCTCGCCTCTGGGTGTGGGTTCCCCCCCAGTACATTGAAGGGGGGTTGAACCTGTTGCTTCCTTTCTCCACAGTTCGACTTTGGGGCATGGATCCCCAACATTCCCCCAACTATGAGGAGACCTCCACCCACTGTGAAGGGCACGGCGACCTTGGAAAGCATCCTCGAGACCATCCCTCAGGTCAACATCACTTGCATTGCCCTGAGTTCACTCTGGTTGCTTAGCAACGAGGTGGGAGACCGGGTAAGGCTTTATCGGGGACGCCAAGATGGCGCATAGCGATAACATGGGGTGGGGTGGATGGAGGTCCCGTGTTTCCATGTCGGGAAATGTGAAATTAAGAGTAACCAGACCTCCTGAACTGTTGTATTTCTGTGTCAGGGTGGGCATTTTGCAATCCCCCCCCAAAAAAATCTTTTAAAAATCCTCTTCATGCCTTGCCTTTGTTTTGAATGTGAGAAACAATGACCTGTTTCTCCCCCTTCCTTCTCCTGTGAGTTAAAAATGGTGGGTGTCTATGACAATGGGGAGGTTGGACTTTGGGTATAAGAAATTCACTAGCGCTGAACCCCATTGCTTGAGAATTTGGGGGGGGCACTCGTGACCATGTTGGCTACGAGATTCCTGGAGTCATCGTTCAGAAAAAACAAACAAACCCACAAACTTTTCCAAAGCTCTGTGTGAACCTAAACTGGGCGTTTTCAGACATCTTCATCCACGGTTTCTTTTCCATCTTTTCCAGAGACCCCTGGGATATTTTCCGGATCAACACTTCTCGGAGGACGAGCCCAAACGTCTCTGTGGGGTATTCCAGAATCACTTGGCGGAGATTTCCGAGGGAATTCAGCAACGCAACAAATCCTTACCTCTCCCGTACGAATATCTCAGTCCCCCCATGGTTGAGAATAGTGTCGCTATTTAGGTCCGACCAGGAGCGAAGCTGCCAGCTCCGAGATCCATTTCTGGTCCATCCTAAAACACGCAACTGTAGGCCAACTCAAGAAGCGATGTTCTTCTCAACCAATTCTTCGGGATGTAAAATGAGGCGTCGCAAGATTCTGCACGAGTGTCTTCAGACCAGAGGCAGAGATTGAGGTGAAAAGCTCTTCAGCCTTGAAACCTAAGGATGGATAACTGACACCCCCCCTTTCTCTCAGAGCCTAATTTCCAAAGTTTCCGGGACAAATTCAAAGTGTTCGTATTGACATACGAAGCCCTAAAACTGTCGGAACATCCCTCCCAAAGAACGGCTACCCGTATCACCTGTTCTTCACAGGCTTTGCTGCTATGGGTGCTTACACCAAAGGAGACCCAGAAGGTGTGAACGAGAAACTGGGCCTTCTCAGTGGTGGCTCCGTCTTGGCGAAATTTGCCTGAATTTCGCAGGGCCCCGCTCCCTCAAGTCCTTTCACAAGCTAGTAAAGGCAGAGCTTTTAAGAAGCCTTTAGTCATATGCTTCCCCGTGATCGTTTTCTGTTGACTCTCATTTGTATTTCCTCTTTCTATCAACACCACGCGGCTTTATTGCCACCAACTCTCATTATTTTTTGTGTTGTCTACAAGTTTGATTTTACTGTTTTATCGGCTGGGACGGTGGCTGGTTTTTTAACTTCGTTGCAAACCACCGAGGCTCAATGGCCTTTCGCTAGACGGTGGGTATAAAAATGAATAAATGAATTAAAATATGCTGTTGATCCTCCCCAAAAGTCATCTGGGCATTCTGCAAGGAGAGGGAAGTGGGAAATGAAGGAATAAAAAAGGCTGTGCCTAAAGTCCAAGAAAACAGACAGAGCAGCTTCCGTTCACCTCGGGGCCCCATCCACCGTTCCATGACAGGGGGCCAGATCCTTGACATTAAAAAGGTTGCCCACTACTGGAGCACCGTTTTCTTCTCACGAAAGTGCTTTTTGGTTCCCTGTGAAAAGTACATGGACTGAAAGCTTACCTGTGGTTACCTGGAGAGGAGGGTCAGCAAGGTTTCTAAAGTGGCCCCATGTAGAGAAAGATTCAGCCACCCTTGTACCAACTGAATTCAGGAGAACAAACCCATCCATTTTGAAGGAAATCAACCCTGAGCGCTCACTGGAAGGACGGATCCTGAAGCTGAGGTTCCAATCCTTTGGCCATCTCATGAGAAGAGAAGACTCCCTGGAAAAGACCCAGATGTTGGGAAAGTGTGAAGGCAAGAGGAGAAGGGGATGACAGAGAATGAGATGGTTGAACAGGGTCATCGAAGGGACCAACATGAATTTGACCCAACTCTGGGAGGCAGTGGAAGACAGGAGGGCCTGGCATGCTTTGCTCCATGGGGTCATGAAGAGTCGGAAACAACTAAACAACTAAACAACAACAAATGAACTTGGGCAGGGAGACACGACTTAACCACTAAACAACAACAAGTGAACTTGGGCAGGGGGTTCTGGGAGTTGTAGTCCAAAAAGGGTCCCATGATTCTGAGTCTGAACTATATGAGCCTTTTGTTGAGAGTGCTACATGAGCATTTGAACAGGCCAGGAAATGTTGAACATGATAAATATCCTCCGTTCATCCATTTCCCTCCTTGAGAAAAGAGTTGGAAAATACCAAGGCATCAATCCTAACCCTGAGAAACATTTTCTTGTGAATTAAAAAAGGGTGGAACTAGTATCAGTACACCAAGCGAGAGGATGCATTATGTTTTTAAACATATAGATTCATGGGTTCCCAATCTTGGGTGAACCCAGGTGTTTCTGGACTACAACTCCCAGAAACCCAGGCAGCACAGCTAATGGTGGAGGCTTCTGGGAATCGCAGTCCAAGTAATACCTGGATGACACCTTGAGCCAGATCAAATAGTGCAAAAATGCTGTGCTTTTCAGTGACACCGTGGAAGTTTCATGCAGGATTTTAAAGTGGAACAGACAGGCGTGGAAGTCCAGGATCCCAGACACGGATGCCGTCGTTTGATCGTGAGGGGCCGTGTCGAGAAAACATACCGATCTTAAGGCCACGATGGCAAATGATCTACTGTGAAGGGCTGTGCATTTCTTGCATTTTTAAAAACTGATTTAGCTGTTTAATTCTTGTTTTGTGATGGCGGTTGTGAGAGATCTTGAGAGTTTTATATAAATGGGGGGGGGTACGAATCAGAATGCATGGTTTTTAAAAAATAAAATAAAAGAGAAACTTTGAACAGTATTCTTTTCCTGTGTTCAAACATCCCTGGCTTCCAATAGCATCTCGAGTGAGGAGAAGGGACCCCCTGGATCATTGGGTCCTGCCCCTTTCAGGGAGGCCCNCCCAACCTCAGGCTTCATAGCCAGAGACCGAAAACCCTGAGCAGAAAGAACACTGAACGGAGGAAAGATACAGGTGGAACCTTATACGGGGGTTCACCTTTATTCTGTTTCTGCATCACCATTCCCTGTATCTTTAATGCACTGAATCTGTGGTTGGTCCCTGCTTTCTGTTGCACATGATGCGCCTTTTCCCCACTGCCTTCTCACAAGCTTACAAGGTAGGCCAGGCAGAGACCATAGGACCGGCCCACAGTCTCACTGTGAGGGTCACGGATGAGTGGGCTTTTGAAGTCACCAAGCCTCCCAGGTCACAGTCCGGTGCTCTACATGGCACATCCACTTTCTTCCTCCTATAAGCTGTCTTCTTCCATGCCGTCCCAAAATATTTTGCTTCCTGAGGCAGTGCAGCAAATGGCACTTCCATCCTTGAAGTCATGACGCACAGCGATGGGAAGGAAGGAAGGAAGGAAGGAAGGAAGGAAGGAAGGAAGGAAGGAAGGAAGGAAGGAAGGAAGGAAGGAAGGAAAAAAGGAAAGGAAGGAAAAAAGGAAAGGAAGGAAGGAGCTGATAATGGAAGGAAGGAAAAGTAAGAAAAGGAAGAGGAAAGAAGGAATGAGAGGGAAGGAAGGAAGAAAAAAGGAAGGAGCTGATGATGGATGGAAGGAAGGAAAAGTAAGAAAAGAAGGAAGGAAGAGGGACGAAGGAAGGAACAAACAAACAAGAGAAAAGCAAGGAAGGAAGAGAAAAAAGAAAAGGAAGGAAGGAGCTGATGAGGGAGGGAGGAAGGAGCTGATGGATGAAAGGAAGAAAGGAAAAGGAAGGGAGAAAGAAAAGAAGGAAGGAAAAGAAAAAGTCACAAGCACTTCAGCCTTTCTTGCAGTAAAATAGGTTATTTCATTGATTCATTCATTATATACCACCCGATGAGGGCAAAGCACAACTCTAGCCGGTTGACAATAATGTGCTAAACCCAATGCATCCTCCCCTCCCTGCAAACAAATCCCATAAACCATCCCATAACAAACACCAAGAAAAAGCACACACACCTTGATTGTGCTTGCAATTCCTGGGGGTGGGGGATGTCTCTGAAGGCTTCCTGGAAGAGGCCGGTCTTTAACTGCTTGTTGGAAGCAGGGAGGACGGGATGGGGCCCGGCGGATCTCCCCTGGGAGGCTGTTCCACAAAGAGGTGGGGCCACCACCGCGAAGGCTGGCTTCCCTGCGGAGACCTCCCTCGGAGTGGCCACCCATAGGAGACCAGCCTGAGTAGAATGGGTGAGCCAGGCCGATGTTCAACAGGGGGGCTGCTCTGACAGATAGCGCCCCCCCTGGGAACCTTTAAAGGCTTTTTGGTGGCAATCATGAACAGCTTGCATTTTAAAAATCAGTTTGCCCCCACTTTTGAAACACTGCCAACATCTGCGGCTCAGGCGGGTTGCCCCACTTGGCTTCCGAGGGGGGCCGGCTGGGGACGTCCTCCAGAGCGGTCTTCAACGTCGGTCCCCTGAAGCCCAGCGGAGAACCTCCCGCCGTCTACCTGGCCCCCTTCGCTGGTGGTCCTTAAGCAATCCTCAAAAACGCTGCCGTTCCTGCAGGCTTTCCAAAATAATCAATCCGGGGAGGCCACCGACTCTGTTAGCCTCTGACTTGATCTATCCTCAGTCTCGCCTGTTTTTAAACGTCTTTGTAGTTTAAAAGGCACTGTCAGTTTTGGGTTGATTTTGAATACTTTTAGCAGTGTTGTGTTAGGGTTCTTACTGTTATTTTCAAGCTGGAAACAGCTCAGGGTGGCCTTTGGCCAGCTGGGTGGGATGGATGGATGGATGGATGGATGGATAGATAGATAGATAGATAGATAGATAGCTAGATAGATAGATAGATAGATAGATAGCTAGATAGATAGATAGATAGATAGATAGCTAGATAGATAGATAGATAGATAGATAGCTAGATAGATAGATAGATAGATAGATAGCTAGATAGATAGATAGATAGATAGATAGCTAGATAGATAGATAGATAGATAGATAGCTAGATAGATAGATAGATAGATAGATAGCTAGATAGATAGATAGATAGATAGATAGCTAGATAGATAGATAGATAGATAGATAGCTAGATAGATAGATAGATAGATAGATAGCTAGATAGATAGATAGATAGATAGATAGCTAGATAGATAGATAGATAGATAGATAGCTAGATAGATAGATAGATAGATAGATAGCTAGATAGATAGATAGATAGATAGATAGCTAGATAGATAGATAGATAGATAGATAGCTAGATAGATAGATAGATAGATAGATAGCTAGATAGATAGATAGATAGATAGATAGCTAGATAGATAGATAGATAGATAGATAGCTAGATAGATAGATAGATAGATAGATAGCTAGATAGATAGATAGATAGATAGATAGCTAGATAGATAGATAGATAGATAGATAGCTAGATAGATAGATAGATAGATAGATAGCTAGATAGATAGATAGATAGATAGATAGCTAGATAGATAGATAGATAGATAGATAGCTAGATAGATAGATAGATAGATAGATAGCTAGATAGATAGATAGATAGATAGATAGCTAGATAGATAGATAGATAGATAGATAGGCTAGCCAGCCACCACAGCTGTTCCAAAACAACGGCCAATCCTGTCTTGTGGTCCCGATCCAGATCACTTTCCCAGGATCTCTTTTCACTGCTTTATATCTTCTTACTTCTGAATGTCCCCAATAGGACGTACCTGATATTGTTCACTCAGTTTCACACCCCATCTCATCACAATTTCTTTTTCTAATAAGGGGGAGGGGGGAAGCTTGGACATTTTCCTTTATTGGGAGGAGGATTTTTCCTGTTCTGACCATTCGCAGAATCCCCGGGCTCTGTTCTGGACTTCGGGATTAAAACTCCCAGAATGCTTTTTTTCTTCTTCTTTCCCAGATGCCTTTTAAAAAATAAAATAAAATCACACCCAGATTCTGAGGGCCGTGATCTGAAAAGGAGCTAGTTCCAAGCTGCGGGGATGATGGAATGCACTGGAGGAAAGACGCAGGAAGGCGACACAGATGCCCTCTGACAAGGGCCCCGTTTTGGCCTCTTCCCCCTCTCTTTCGCCACCTTCCTCGGGGCTGCGGAGCGAGAACCAGGACGGTCGCAGTCGTGGCCTGCCCGGGCTGGAAATGCAAGGGACTGGCCTTGCGCAAGGATCCGTGGGCTCAGCCGCAGGGCCTCTGCATGTTTATGCCTTCGGCCATGCAAAACCACCCTGCCAGAGCCTTGCCTCATCTGTGTTCGCAGTCAGCGGAGGAAGCTGCTGATTTGGGCTTTTTCAGCTATTTAAAAAAGGCAGTAATTAAATGCTTCGGAGGATTGAGAAGCGTTCTGTTATCATTCACTCAACACCTTTGGGGTTTTATAGACTTTCTCAGAGCGATGGGAAGATGCATCAACCTTTTGTAATAACTTCCATGGCCTCCAGGGGGCACCATGATCTTCTCTGCGTTTGGGTGGGTTTTGGAGGGTCTGAAAACTTGGGTTGAGGGGGGAACGGGTCTCCGGGGAGGGAAGCGAGCCATTAGGGGAGCATGGGTGAGTTTGGGGCTCATTTACACCAGCAGGAAGGCCTGCTCATCAAGGCAGGGTCCACGGAACAGGTCTCGGGGGGGAAGCGAGCCGTTAGGGGAGCATGGGTGAGTTTGGGGCTGGGTCCCGTTGTCCAAGGACGAAACTCATTTACACTAGCAGGAAGGCCTGCTCAGCAAGGCAGGGTCCAAGAAGAAGGTCAATTTTCCGAGCAGGCAGCTGCAATTCCAGAATAGGGTGCAAGCTTCAGCGTTCTACAGCAGTCCTCATCAGTCTTTAAAAGTCTACATGTGAATCGTGATTTTTTTTTGTTTTGTTTTGTTCTTACGAAACGGCATGGCAGCTGCTGATTTGTGTCTCTCTGTGTGTGTGGGTGTGTGGGTGTGTGTGGGTGTGGGGGTGTGGGTGTTTACATTATAATATTTGCAAGTCAACATTTATAACTCCATTATAGACACGCGTCACACAAAGCATAGTCCTGGCTAGGGTTGTGTTGTGACGTGTGTACCACGCAATGCATTCCTTTTGCTTCTTCTTCTGGCGATGCCAATGCCAAAATCTTCTTTCTCCCCGGGCACCGCTGTTCTGGCGTCTGCAGAAGTTGTCAAGGAAAACATAAGCTGCAGAGGAAGAAGCCGATTCTTCCCTAGACGTTTTGTCTTGGGTGAGGTCAAGTCACCTCCAACTCATAGTGACTCTATGAATAGGTAAAGGTAAAGGTTTCCCTTGACAATTTTTGTCCATTCGTGTTCGACTTTGGGGGCGGTGCTCATCCCCGTTCCCAAGCCATAGAGCCACCGTTTTGTCCGAAGACAATCTTTCCGTGGTCACATGGCCAGTGTGACTTAGACACGGAACGCTGTTTACCTTCCCACAGAGGTGGTCCCTATTTATCTACTTGCATTTGCATGCTTTCGAACCGCTAGGTTGGCGGGAGCTGGGACAAGCGACGGGGGCTCACTCCGTCGCGTAGATTTGATCTTACGACTGCTTGGTCTTCTGACCCTGCAGCACAGGCTTCTGCGGTTTAGCCCGCACCGCCACCACGTCCCGACTCTATGAATAAGGGACCTCCAGAATGTCTTGTCCTCAACAGGCCTGATCAGCTCTCACAAACGCAAGCCTGGGGCTTCTTTTATTGAGTCCATCCATCATGTATTTTGTCCTCCTCTTTTCCTGCTGCCTTCCGCCGTTTCCTAACATTATTTTCTTTTCCAGAGCATCTGGCCTTCTCTGGATCTGCCCAAAGTAGGACAGTCTCAGTTTCAACATATTGGCCTCCGGAGGCATACAGTATCTGAGATATTTGAAAGATACTCGGATGGTGCAACCGCATTTTTTTTTAAACAAGCGTAGCCTCTTTTGAGAGCCCAAGTGGTTAACACGGGAACTTGCGTAATAGAGACGGAGGGATTCTATGTATTTCGCTGCAGCCTCCCGGCTAAGCGTTGGCAGAGTCAAAATCGGCTGGAGTTAGGTGGGGTGTGCGCGCCTTTAACCACATCCAGGGAGGAGCAGAAAAGGCTGTTCAGACCTGCCTTGGGAGCAGACGCAAGGCTGACATCCTACTTTCTTCCCTGCTAATCCCATCGCTTCTTCTCTCTTTTCCTTTCTTCCTCTGCAGCAAGATGGCCAGCTACAAGGTCCAGGTGGCGACCGGCAACTACCTCCTCGGTGGGACCTTCAGCAGGATCTCCATCACCCTGGTGGGAACGCAAGGGGAGAGCCCCAAACAGGAGCTGAACAACTCTGGAAGGGATTTTGTGCGCGGCGCTGTGAGTATCTTAACCGGCGGTGCACAGAGGTTCGCTCGTGAGGTTTGGAGGAAAACTTGGGAACTTTTTCTGCTGGGTGGCTGGTATTTCCCGGCAGGTGCTTCACCAAAGTCTTCCCTGAACGAGGGCCCTCGGGAAGAGTTGGACTACAATGCCCATCACTCCCAAGCCAGTGGCTGGGGATAATGGGAGACGGCATCCAACAGTTCCAGAAGGTGTTGGATGGGGACAAAGTGCACGAAAAGCCAACAAACGTACTGAAAATATGGGGGGTATTTCAAAGGAATGCTTTTAAACTGCCAAAAAAAACGAAAAGCATGTTTATTTTCTCTTCATTTCAGAGAAAAGCACTCCCCTTACGATTATTAGGGATTAGATGGTCCTAAGGCAAAAAAGTTGCATGCTGCTAGATTTTGCAATTGATCAGTTAATGTTGTGGTAGGAAAACTGGTTGTGGCTTTTTATGGCATGCATTCATCCTGCCCTATATGTTCCGCTCTGGCTGGCAGCCGCAGCTCCCCGGGACTTCTGGCTGGCTCCTGAGTAGCTGGGAATGGAGCTAGGCGACCCTCATCTCATGTCCAGTAGCACCTTCAATTCCCGCCCTTTAAGGGTGCGATATCGTAACAGGTTGTGTGGCAACGTCTGCAGGGAAAAGATCATTGTTATTGTTGTTAATGTTTGTTCGTTATGTGCTGACAAGTCAGAACCAACTTAGAGCAGCTCTGATAGTTCTTTCAAGGTACGTGAGATATTTATCGAGTGGTTTTACCATTTCCCGCCCCTCATGGCTGAATGGGGATTCGAACCCAGGTCTCCAGTATCCTAGTCCGCCACTCTATACACTACAACACACGGGGTAGCCATGAGTATTCTCATCACCTGGCTGGTATATTGTGAATGGCTGGTCCTGTTTCTATCGCACATTCTGCTGGTGTCCATGTCTCTCCTTGTTCCTACATTTCCCCTACGACAGCCCTACGGGGTAGAGATGCCCAGCCCAAGATTGCGCTGTGAGTTTCCCATTTGAGTGGAGATTTCCCCCCCTGGACCTTCCAAGTCACAGTCCAGCTTTAACTATATATCAATGCTGACTCTCCCTGTTAACTCTTGCTGAGACCTTGGTTTATCTCCTCCTCTCCTTGTATGTCATAATAACCTTCCTTATCAATCTTAAACAGAAGCATTCCTAACATCCTTTAGTGAGTCAAGCGCCCTCAAGTCAGAACCGACTTTTAGCGACTCTAGCCGGACTTTCAAGATAAGCGAGGGGCTTTACCCGTTCCTTTCCCCCAGTGAGTTTCCATAGCTGACCAAGGATTTGAACCCTGGTCCCCAGAATCCTCTTCTGTCCCTTTATCCACTACATTATACTGGGCTTCTTTGCCAGATGGAGGGTCCAAATTCACATTCCCACTCAGCTGTGCAACTTGCTGGATAATCTTGAGGCAGTTATCGTCTCTCCACCTAATTTACCTTACATCGTTGTTGTTGTTGTTGTTGTTGTTGTTGAGTGGCCTCCGACATATGGCGACCCTATAAGTCAGTGATCTATAAAATCTTCTGTCCTCAACCGCCGTGATCAGCTTTTGTAAACTGAATTCTGTCAGTCCATCTCATATTTGGTCTTCCTCTTTTCCTGCTGCCTTCCAATTTTCCCAGCATTATTGTCTTTTCCAGAGAATCCTGTCTTCTCATGATGTGCCCAAAGTAGGATAGCCTCAGACTCGACGTTTTTGCCTGTAGAGAAACTTTCAGCTTGATTTGCTCTAGGACTTACTTTGGCCAAAGTATTGGAGCCTCCGCTTCAGGATCTGTCCTTCCAGTGAGCACTCAGGGTTGATTTCCTTCAGAACGGATAGGTTTGATCTCCTTGCAGTCCAGGGGACTCTCAAGAGCCTCCTCCAGCACCACAATTCAAAGGCATCCATTCTTTGGCGGTCAGCCTTCTTTAGGGTCCAGCTCTCACTTCCATACAACACTACTGGAAAAACCATAGCTTTGACTATGTGGACCTTTGTCGGCAAGGTGAGGTCTCTGCTTTTTCTGTCAAGGATTGTCATCGCTTTCCTTCCGAGAAGCAGGTGTCTTTTAATTTCGTGGCTGCTGTCTCCATCTGTAGTGATCACGGAGCCCAAGAAAGTAAAATCTGTCACTGCCTCCATATCTTCCCCTTCTATTTCCCAGGACATGATGGGACCAGTGGCCATGATCTTAGTTTTTTTGATGTTGAGTTTCAGACCGTTTTTTGCACTCTCCTCTTTCACTCTCATTACAAGGTTCTTTAATTCCTCCTCACTTTCTGCCACCAGAGTGATATCATCTGCATATCTGAGGTTGTTGATATTTCTTCCAGCAATCTTGATTCCGGCTTGGGATTCCTCCAGTCCAGCCTTCCTCATGATGTACTCTGCATATAAGTTAAATAAGCTGGGGGACAATATACAGCCTTGTCGTACTCCTTTCCCGATGTTGAACCAATCAGTTGTTCCGTATCCAGTTCTAACTGTTGCTTCCTGTCCCACATATAGGTTTCTCAGGAGATAGATAAGGCGGTCAGGCACTCCCATTTCTTTAAGGGCTTGCCATAGTTTGCTGTGGTCCACACAGTCTAAAGGGATAGCCACTCCAAATTAAACTTTTCCTGTTCGAAGTGGTAAGATTCATGCACACAGCTGGGGTTGATACTTGTAGTTCAAAACATATTGTTCTTTTTAAAAGATTTTATTTCTTTTATGCATCCAGGTGGACGAGTTTAGCCTTCCATGTGAGCCAGACCTGGGGTCTCTCCTGATGATTCGACTCCACAAAGACCCTTACTTGTTCTTCCCTTCCGACGGCTGGTACTGCAGTTACGTCAAGGTGAAGACGCCGCGGGGGGACGTGTACACCTTCCCTTCTTATCAGTGGCTGGAGGGCCACGGCACCTGGAGTCTGCGGGAAGGCACAGGTACGTCCCTCGGCCTTCCTCTTTCCCCAGATGGACCGGAGGGGGTCGGCTGGGAATTCTAGCCTGCGGACGGAGCCAGAAAATAGGATTTATTTCTTTGTGTGTGGACAACCGTTTCCGAGTTGCGAATCCACTCCCGGGTTTTACTCCAGACTTTAAATGGGTAACTTTGGAATTAGTTACTTCAATGAGTTACTTTCCTTGGCTCTGTAAAACAAGATATGAGCAAATACCCACCTTGGGTTCTTTTTAAGGAGAAAGGCGGGATAGAAATATTATAAATTAAATAAATACATATATACATAGGCACCCATAGAGAGAGAGAGACCTGGCGCAGTGCAAACCAAATGAAATGAAAAGGAAGTGTTCATCGTTGTGTGACATGCAGTCACCTCCGACGCAGTGGCGACCTTGTGTATGAACAATGGTCAAAAAGTCCTGTCGTTAACAGCCCTCCTCCAGTCTTGCAGACACAAGATCGTGGTTTCCTTTATTGCCTCGATCCATCTCACATTGCATCTTCCTCTTCTCCTGCTGCTTTCCACTTTCCCCAGCATTAGGGTCAATTCCAACAGAGAGGTTACCTTTGGGCATGTGGAGAGTGCTCTTAAATATAAAAAGAGGGAGGGCTTTGGATATTTTAAAAGAACATGGCCTCACCTTTTCAGCATCTTCCTTGAGGTCCTTCTGAGGAGAAAGGCGTGTGTGGGCAGATATTTAAAAATAAGCAAATAAATAAGGTTCACCTGTTCTCCCCTCTTTTCTCCAGCCAAAAAAATTGCTGATGATGCAGGCAACCAACTTCTCCTGGATCATCGGAAAGAAGAGTTGAAAAAACAGCAAGATTTCTACAGGTGAGACAGCCATGATGGTAATCACGTTCCAATTGAACTGTGTAACCATCATCAGTATGGAAGGGCCCAGCTGGCTAAAGGAATACTGTAACTGTGCTGCATATTATATTAAAATATGGTCCTCATTCCCTTCATTGAGAAAATGAAAACTTAGGGAGAACAGATCCGGCCTTGCTTTCATCCATGACACCCTGGCTTTCCAGCTGCGGGACAATAATATTGGTCTCTGGGCTGGAACGGACAATTATCCTCCCACTTGTAGGCTGAACTGGTAGAGCCCGGACGCAGGTTTACCTGCTCGATGAGAGAAACAAAGGCTTAGGTGGAGCCAGACAAGAAGGGTGACTCTGATGATGCAAGGGCATTAAAGGGTTTTCAGCTCAAATTAAAGGATCCATCCAGTACACTGAGCCCTGTTCGATCAGCACACGGGAGAGCTAATCGAAAGTTCGGAGTAAAACACAGAGCGAATTGACTAGCTTCCTAAAGAGACTGTGGCCAACCGAATAGCCTTAGATTTCCGCCAATGGTGTAGCACACGAGGGCTCGTGGGGTCAAAGAACCAAGACCTTCTTGGTCAACAGGGTCTAGAATGCCAACTGCCAAGCCATGTGATTTTCGGCTTCTGTTTCTTCTCTAAACCTCGCTCCAGTTTTCCCCAGTTGCTAGGGAGATGGGACTGGTTTTCTCATGGTTTTCTCATGACCCCCTCCCCCCAGTTATAATGCAAAGAGGTAGTTTATAGCAGAATGGGCAATTAGGACCCATTAGCCTTACAAAGGACCTGCAACAGGAAATACAAATTGCCAAACTGGGTGGATATTCAGAGCTATCATGTCGGTGCTTTAAGACACTTCGCAAAGCGACGGCTACAGAGACCTTCCAAATGGGATCCTACATATCAGCAGTACTACAACTCCCATTCTCCACGGCCTGCAGCCAGCTAGTGGGAATCAGAGACTAAGAGCAGGTTCTGGCAACAGATTCATTAGTATCCCTGATCAAAAGTCTTTCTCTAGAATAGGTTTTCCCTCGGGGGATTAGTCTAGATTGCAGCTAGATAGAAAGATATGATTTGGAACAGGTATGTCCTTCAGACATGAAAGTAAGGGTGGGGTGAACCAGGTATCTTAGTCACGTCGGGGTGAAATCACACCTTCCATTGCACCACAGAAAGAAGAGAGCCAAATTAACAGAGACACCACTTTTCAAAGTCTCTGCTGGGGCCGCCGGAATATCCCAGCAGGAATGAGAACTGCCTGGAAAGAGACACGGGCCACGAAGGTGGAGGGGGCTCAGGAAGTGGCTGTCGGAAAAAGGAACTTCCCCGAGCTCTAACTGTTTTCCTTGCGTAGTTCCTAAGGAGGTACCTCCCCCCCAGGGAAGGGTTGATGCCCTGGGACTTTCTGATGCGCAGGGGCTAGGAAATAATCCACTTCCCCCCCTCGCCCACCCAAGCTTCTTCCCTCTTTCCCCTGACCTTAATTGAACTCTGCACAGTAACGCAGTAACCGAGAAATGTCATTGCTAGCTACTCCCATTGTAATGTAAAGTATGCACAGGAGTTTGATTTTGAAGGGGGGGATCAGGAGCCGTTGCCTTTGCAAAAGACCCGCTTCTCGATAGGGGGTCACGAGCAAGCCAGTTGCTGGAGTTTTTGGAGTCTTCCTGAAAGGACTGGCTATGAGTAACAGCCATGATGACAATTGGCAGTCCCAGTTTTTACCACGACACCATATACCTGGGTTAAAAAGGATGGCTCACCTGGGACGGGGGCCCGTTGTTGTCACGTGGGTCACAGGCGTGGCCGATCCCAATAACCATTCTCTCTTCCAAAAACACACATAAATATTTACAGCAGGTGAGATCCACTCCATTCTGTTTCCCAGGGAAAGAAATTCTGGGCCACTAAGGCCACACTGGCATCCACAATCCACTGGACCTTGGTGTATTTTTAAAATACAAGAGGACACACACACACACACACACACACACACTTGTATCCGAAGCCCCCCCCACCGCCACAGATGCTGAAAAATGCAGATTACTGTATAATGAATGCTATTTTAATAGTGAACACTTACATATCATGGTCTCTGCCTCCCTCTAGTGGCCAGTTCCAGTAACTTCATCTTTAGAAAGATCTATTTCTAGGATTTTTCTTTTAATATTTTTAATATTTCCAGACTGTGGATAAGCAAATCAGTGGATACTGATCCTACAGATACAGGGGGTCCTTCTGTAGTCTGTGGCATCAGCTACCCTCAAACTCTGTTTGGCAAGCAGTTTGCTAAGCAGTTAAAAAGTGGGCTTCCCCCCCCCCCCGGATTGGGCACCCCCCCCCCCCCCCC